CCTTCAAGTAATGTCTGAGAACCATGTAGATATGCATGAAGTTTCTCGAAACCCTAAAATGCCGCTAAACACTCCTCTGTCGTGGAGTAGTTCACCACTGCTGGTTGTAACGTATGGCTTATATATGCAATGGGATGACATTAACCAAGCACACTCAGGCTTTCTTGCATCAACACACCTCTAAGACCAATATCAGAAGCATCTATGTGCAAAATAAAAAGTTGACTATAATCAAGATATGCCAAAACCAGAGGAGTTGTCAACAACTCTTTAAGATCTACAAACACTCGCTCACAATCTGAAGACCAGATGAAAGATGATGTTGATGACTTTAGCAATGTTTGCAACAGTGCAGTGTGATCAGAAAGATGATCCACAGAACGACCGAGATACTACACCTTGCCCAAAAAGCACTGTACATCATTCACACACTTCGGAGTAGGGAACTTTAGAAGAGCCACAAGTTTGTCAAGATCAACTTGCAAACCCTCACGAGAAATACAATACCCAAGATAAGTTGTGTCCTTAGACCTAAACACGCATTTCGACCGCTTTAGCTTTAAACCAACGTCCCGTAGCTGATCCAACACTTTACACACATCACGAACGTGCTCCTCCCACGTCCCCTTTGAGTGAATCAAGACATCATCAATGAAGTTAGCAGTCACCTCTAGCATATCATAAAGAACCTCGTCCATCATCCGCTGGAAAGTTGCTGAAGCATTGTTCAAACCAAACAGCATCACCAAGAACTCATATAAACCAAACGGTGTACGAAAAGCAATATTAAGAATATCTTTTTCGGCCATCGGTACTTGCCAGTACCCAAAAGCAAGATCTAGCTTGGTGAACCAATGACTTCGCCCCAAACGATCCAAAAGATTAGCAGTATGAGGAAGAGGGTACACATCTGGGATCATCACTTCATTTAACAGATGATAGTCGATGCAGAAACAAATACTTCCATCAAGCTTCGTCACAAGATGAGGTTCACATGCCCAAGGACTCCACGACTTCTGAATAACACCCTTTTCCAACATCTCCTTGACGTTTGCACGTAAAATCTTGATCTCCTTGGGTGACCGATGACGAACATGAACCTTGATTGGACGAGCATCCCCGATTGAAATCAGATGATGTGTTGCAATCTTGGCCCCAGACGATAGGTCAAATTCAAAGAGATCAGAATACTTTTTCATGAGCTAGTCAACCACTGCAACACAAAGATCGTTGGAGGGATCGGAAAAGGGAAGAGCAAAACAAGATGGAAACACAAGAGGAAATAATAGGGGAACAAAAGTAATGGAAGAAGAGGTAGAAGTAGAGGGATGAAGAGGTATGAAAGTGAGAGGAATGAATGAAATATAAGGAGGTATGTGTAAGCAACCAAAGGGAATGACTTGAAAGACGATTCATAGGGGTTCAAATATAGAGGGAAAGGGCCCATGAACAAGAGTGCACCGCTTTTTCCAATCGATTAAGGGTCTTGGGATAGTTGGAGTTAAGCGTCCTTGGGTTTGAATAGTACTAGGTTGGGTGACCTCCCGGGAAGTCCAAATTCAGGAGCTTACAGTATGAGAGAAGGGGGAGAAGCCTCAAAGTCATACTTGGCATGATTGCGCTGCAACCAATCCATACCAAGAATAAGGTCAAAAGCTTGACTCGGCACCACCCGTAACGACTGCAGCTCAAGCACAACCAGATCCGCCTCATCCCATGCACATGTATGTGTACAGCTGTTGCCATAAAGAATGAAAACTGATTCTGCCGCACGATGCAAGTGTAGACGACAACGTAAGGCAACAGATCAAGCAATAAAAAATAAACTCGAACCTATATCAACCAACACGGAAAGAATAATAGGAGTTGTCGTCGCAACAGATCAAGCAATAAAAAATAAACTCGAACCTATATCAACCTATATCAACCAACACGGAAAGAATAATAGGAGACCTCTTGTTATAAAACGAGCTTGGAAAGTAAACACTGGATGAACTGATGCCGAGTGAACCCCTTGATGATACTCCCGAAACAAAGATGGAGGGGTCACTAAGTTATTCGCACAAGGTCCTTTTATTACTCGCGCGACTCCTTGTTTCCCAGATGCATCCCAGTGTCCAAACCTTTCACTGCAGCAACACCAATAGGACGTTACTAATGCCAAGGTCTCCACCCAGGAAATGGAGGTCGTCAATCCGGAAAACGCCGACAGCGCTGATAAGTATGACCAACTTCATCACATGCCCAACAGCGAACATCACGGCCACGACCACGTCCTTGCCCTTGTCCTTGGACTCAAGCAGCAGCAGCATCAACCTCTATTGGAGTAGAACCATCACCCATAGGAAGGGGAGCTGAAGGATAAGTAGCGAGAAGTGGAAGAGGCGACGTCTCATAACATTGTGTCAAGCGAAGAGCATCATCAAGGGTGGCGGGAGCAAGTGCATGCACAAGTCCGATAAGATTTTGACGAAGTGCTGGCCACAATATTCCTAGCTTGATTCGCTTCGATATATTTGGCTCCGCACGAAGCAAAATACTTTGGAAACAAACGATAAATTGCATCACCGACTCAGATGGCCCTTGGTGAAGACGATGCAATTGTTTGAAGGCATCATCACAGTTGTCGGCATGTCTGAAGGTGCGTTTGAAGATGTCCGGGAGAACACTTCAATCCCCACAACTGGCTGTGCTCAAACCATTGTACCATTGCAACGCCATCCCTTGGAGACACATGGGAAACTCATGCAAACGTCGAGTATCATCCTAAGAATGATATGTGGCAATCATCGTGAAGTGATCGAACCAATGGTACACATCATCCCCAGGATTCCCGTGAGAGAACTCTAGTTGAATGCGAGGATTAGCACCAAGAGCACCATGTGCCGTAAACGCCACTATCAACTAAGTTTGGTTGTTCAATTGCAAGCATATAACATCAAGCAATTGTACCAACTGCTGCTCCAAAGTCAAAAGAGGAGATTGCTAATTTGCCATGAAGATAGACGAAGAAAGAGCAAAAGAAGAGAAATGAAAAAAAGCAAGAAGGAAATGGAAAATCTAGACAATGCAAAAAGTTAAATCTAAACCAAAATGCTGAAAGGGAAAAACAAAAGAAAGTAAATAGAAAAAGTTAAATATAGATGATGCAAAAGCTAGATCTAAACTAAAATCCTAAATTTAAGCATTCCTTAGGAACAATCAAAAGTGCCCTTTATCTCTACTAATGTGAGTGTTTGGAATATAGAAAGGAAATATAAAAAATGTGCATATCAATTAGCCCAAAAACTCTAATTTATATACTGGTTTGAATTGAAATCAATCTGACAGCTACCAAAATCTCACTATACAGCATCGTAGCCGTACACTTGGCCCTCACAACTCCAAGATTCTTATTCCCAAAAGATTGTTTCCAACGTGGCCTTAAAATGACGTGCCAGCAGAATAGTGTGCCACGTGGCGATAAATGACGTGCAGAGGCTTACATGGCGCGTTCTTATTCGCCCAAGCGACGCGGAGGTTTTAGGTTACAGCATGAGGCTTGTTTTGGCGCTCTCGTTCGCGCTATGGCTTTCGCTCGCGATCGTTTTCGCGGTGGAATCCGACGATAAGGGTCTCGGCGCTGTTCTGGTAATCGAAAGTTCCATCGATCGAGCAATCTCTGATTTCTTTCTCCCATTCTCTCCTCCAGGAAGCGACGGATAAAATCGTCCAGCAGCTAGGATGGAAGCGCGAGGATGTGAATGTGTCGCGGGTCTACTCCCGGAGGATGGGGCAAGCACTGATGTACGAATTCGACATCGAAATCGGTGGAAATATTTTCCCGATCAAGCTCGCCGAGGACATCAGTACATGGCGCTATGTAGACGAGCTCTCAAATCACGGCACCGACAAGGCGATGGTGGAATTTGGACACTGGGATGACGCGGCGCTGGCTCCATTCAAGATCGCAGGGCCGGTTGAGCTCTGGATCCAAGATGCCAAGGACCTCCGGCTCGCAATTCCGGTATGCATTCATCACGTTCTTGAATCGATCGCTAAAAAAGCCTTTCTTGTTTCCAGAACGATGTGGATGCTGGAGCGTTGCGAAAGGTTTTGCTAGCGGATGGCGCCACTGTGACAGTACTAGGAGCTCGAGAGATAAGTCTGACGAAGCCATTCAAGGTACCTTTGCCGCTGGTTGGCAGCGGTGATGATCACGCTTCCAGCATCTTGGCACTCTCGGAACAGCTCAGGCAAGCATCCCGATCCAGCGACCGGCCGATCCTATCACTCCGAGTGGTGAAGCCATCTTCGCTGGTGGCATCCGCCCCGGAGCAGCTGGATTCTCCGCCGGAGCGCCTCAAAGTGAAGAAACTTTCACCGGGGGCAGTGGAACTGAGCAGCAGGGCGCTGGACAAACTCGCAGGAGGTGAGATCGAATTGAGTGGCGGTAGCAGCAGTGGCAAGTCACAGTGGCTGTGGCCGCTTCCATCCGTGAACACGTCTGGACCAACCTTGCGGAGCTTGGAGCAAGCGCTCAAGCTCTTGCTCGGCCCCAGCGCTCACAGGCCGGGCTCCTTCAGCCTCCTCCGCGCCAAGGCCGCGGCAGCGAAGTTCGTCAAGGTGGAATTCGAGCTGGAGAAGCGCCTAGATGGCGACGATGATGCTCTACCCGAATGGGCAACCAGGCCGACGATCCAGCGGCTCCAGTTTGAGGTCCTGTCCAAGATCGACGGCGACAAAGTGATCCCCATGAGCGTCCGGCCTTTGGAAACGTATCCCTCGGCTACCACCGCATCGTTCGATTTTTTTAGTGGCAACACCACTAGCTTGGAAAGCATGGCATCGACATTCCTTCCTCCAGTGAGCCCTTTGACACTCGACGTAAGTTGGTAAAATCGCTTGGTGAATCGCCACTAGATTTTTCTGGATGAAATCATGAAGGGTTTTCCATGTATCATAACGTAAGTTGGTAAAATTTGGTAAACACATAAAATCATGTAAATCATAGCGATAAGTTGGTAAAAGTTGGTCACAACTGGATAAAATCATGTAAGAGTTTACCACAGAGAATAACGATCGTAGCAAATTCTTGGCAAAAAGGAAAAAATTCCAGTTAGCGATCGAAGATGCGAAGCTACCTATCTATGGTCGAAACGAGTAAACATCGATCCTGGTATCGTCTCCAGCGGCGTAAAGAACGTTCTTCGCGGTGGACCATTTGAGATCATGGTACATTCCAACATGGCGGCCATCCGGGAAGAGCTGCGCGAGTCGGGCGGAGGGCCGAGGCATGAAGAAGTCCGCAAAGTAAAGCCCACGAAGAGTGCTTATCGCGGCGGTCCCCGTGCCTGGCTTTAGAGCTAGCTTGAGGATGCCACTGTCGTCGATTTGCATGGACGAGACGGGAACGCTCGAAGCCTGGAAAAACCAAACGTATGAGCTATGCCGAAAACGAGGAACTAGCAGCAACGCTTACCTGGTTCGACAGCGTCCGGTAGTCCCAGCGGTGGATAAACTTGTCCATGCTCGCAGACACGATCATGTTTGCGTCGGTTGCATCCAGGCACGTAATCATCGCGTCGTGGGCTTGCAACCGGCCTGTGCTTCGCAGAGCTCCAAACATACCTGTGAAAGGCTCGTCAAAGAAGCACGCTTGAGACGAGAGAAAAGAATGTCTCGTACCTGTACAGCGATCGGCACGACGGTCCCAGACGCGGATTGTGCAGTCTCTCGAGGCCGACATGAAGATGTTTGGGTTTGGAGGGAATAGAGATAAACAAGTTATCAGGTCCTGATAAAAAAGAAACACAACTTAGAAACCGTAAGTACGAGTTGAGATCTACCTCATGCTCCACGTACTGCCTTAGAGGCTTCAAATTCGTGAAGGAAGTTGAGGACTGAAGATCGTAGTAGCAGACCTTTTGCTCACAAACATCACTTGGTCCTGATTTTGTGGTTTCTCCCGTAATAAAAGACGGCTCCAGGGCTCCTAATGCCTGTTGGAACAAGTCAGCAGATTTATAAGAGAATGAAATACCAAAGTACCTTAATGCACGCTATCAAAGTTGTCGTTTCTCTTGGAAGACATCCTTTCTCTTTCCAGCCTAGACCCCCTACTCCTCCGGCTCCATAGCGAAAAATGCACGGAGGAGGTAATCTTCGATTTGGAAGTGCACCCTCTCTTGCAACACCACAAACAAGGAGCGATTGGGAGGATACTTGAACGTCCATGGAGCACGCATAGTGGTGCGGCATTTCTATATGATTCAAAAGCTGCAGTGACAAACAGCGTAAGTTTATACGATCAGAAACAAGAGCAAAAGGTGAGTTTACTTGTCCGTCACAAGACCAAACAATGAGGGACCCGTCTTTGGCACCAGTCAGTAGCTGGTCTCGCCTGCTGTCTAGTGATGTACACACTTAGTAATTGCACAAAGATGATGACCTTACCATAAGCCATGGTGAAAACAGTGTTTTTGTGTCCATGAAAGGAGTCCACAGCATGAAGCCCTGAAACTATATTCAAGAGATTATAACAAGAACTTTTAAGTGCTCTTACCTGACTGTGTCACTGGAGTTTCATGGACCGGCCTCGGCGAAGTCACAACCGAGGTAGGACTGAGATTCCATCCCATGCTTTCCTCAATGTAATTTATGTCGTATCTGTCACAGAAAACGTTGCTAAAGTCAGAAAAGCTTTTACGTTCCCTCCATGCCTTACACAAAATGCCCCTCGGTGACGTTGTGAACAGCAGCCCGCAAGTCCGAGAGTGTCGTAAGATCACACTTCTCATTCAGCTAGAACGAAAGGGAAGAAATGTTAAAACCTGGATTTCTCATATGTTAATTCTACCTGTTGTAGGCAAAGCTCCACAGTCTTCCCCAACATTGTTACCGCTGCACATCGGGTCTCTTGCTTGCGAAGAAGTTGAACGATGGATTGAACGGCTCCTGGAAACCAAGAAAGCATACAGAGTTAGCCACATGCAGTTGGATGCTAGCTCGGTCAGAAGTACCAACGAGAGGGACAAACTCCATTTGAACTATAGAAGCAAATGCTTCAGCGTAGGAGAAGAACTCCATTCGACTCGCATCGATGGATCGCTTCAAGGTGAGGTGCTTCAAAACCTTGAGTGAAAAGAGATTAAGCCCCGCCAGCCAAAAAATCTAGCAGAAATATACCTTTGGGATGAATGTCTCTTTCATCCTCACTATCAAACGCTCTGGTAGCCTGGAGAAAAAAAGCCCGAGAGAACAGTAAGAAAAAGAGAAACAAGTTGAGACACCGAAGAACCTTGGAAACAGTAGCATGTATGGCACCACGGATTCTTGGCGCATCACCATTTCCCGGCTAAAGACTACATCTTCAAAGGCTCCAATCAATTCGTCAAAGACCTGTGAAGAAAAGTGAGTTTTCTTCTCTCTTTCGTATCATCTTCTCGAAAAGGAAGAAAAGCTTACCAGTTCTGATGATTCTAGCTCCGTGAGCACAAGCGTGATCTCAGAAGCGACGCGATCCAGCTCGCTGGAATCTTTGAGCCGTAATATCAGCGGCGTGAAGAGCTTCTTGAGATCCCGGGTCTTGACGTGATCGGTGAGGAGCCTGGCCATGAGAAAAATCCATTGTAGGATCGCTTGGAGCGCGAGAAAAGAGCGCCTACCTGAGCGTCTTGAAGAGCTCCGTCGCGAGGGGGATCTCATCGGGGCCGACCTCCACCTCGATGAAGAGCTTCATGCTCTTCGCAAGAAAGTGAGGAGCCCAAAGCCCTAAATAAAATAATGTGAGGATTTAGGGTTTATGCAATGCGCGGGCTATGGGCGGGCGGAGGCGCCGCGATCGCCAATGCGCGCGCCAGGTATCTCTCCAATATCGCAATGTCGCATCGCCCGCTCCCCCCGGCAGAGATTGAGCGCCTGGCCGAGATAATCCTGCGACAGGTGATGGATTCCAAGCGAGCCGGGGAAGGAATCGAGAAATCCCTGGGTCTGTATGGCGATATTCTAGTCCCTGACCTCGTCGGCAAGGTGATCCACCGGATTCCGGATCCAAACACCGCCTGGGAGGTGTTCCAGTGGGCCGGGAAGCAATCCAAGTTCACGCACAACAGGTTTACTTGCAACAATCTCCTCAGCGTCTACGTGAAGGCCCGGCGCGTCGAGGACGCGCATCTCTTCTTCCAGAGCCACATGAAGAACGTCTTCGAGCCGGACGAGGTGTCTTACAACACGCTCATGAATGGTTTCTTCAAGGCTGGCGACGTGAAGAAGGCGCTGGCGCTGTTTGGAGAGATGAAGGACTCCGGCATTGCGGTCCTGAGGTCTCACAACATTGTTCTTCGAGGGCTGTGCTCCGGGGGAAAGATCTCCATGGCCTGGGAGGTTTTCAAGGACATGAGTGGGATTTTCTCGCCGAACCTCATCTCGTACACCATCATGATCGATGGCCTTTGCAAGAGCCGCAAGGTGGACAAGGCCATCACGCTCTTCAAGCAGATGGTGGACAAGGCTATCTACCCGGACGTGGTCACGTATGGTGCTCTGATCGATGGGCTTGGCAAGCAGCGCCGGGTGAAGGAAGCTTATGACTTGTTCGAGGAGGCCAGGGCGAAAGGATGCCACCCGACTGTGGTGACTTACAACACCATGATCGACGGGCTTTGCAAGTGTGGAAGGATTGAGAACGCTTTGACGCTCTACGACGACATGGTGAGAGAGCCACACTTGAAGCCGGACATGTTCACGTACAGCGCTCTCATAAACGGTCTCAACTTATCCAACAGAGGGGAGAAGGCTTACGAGCTGTATGAAGAAATGCTGGACACCGGCTGCTCGCCCGACGTTGTAACTTACAACACTCTCCTGGACGGGCTCTGCAAGTCGGGTTGCGAGGACAAGGCGATGGAGATTTTCAGGAAGATGGGAGTTGGGAACGTTTGCGATCCCAACGTGATCACCTACACAGTTCTCATCGACAGGTTTTGCAAAGTGGATCGGCTGGGAGATGCTGTGAAGCTGGCGAAAGAGATGGAGGGCAGGTCTCTCCTCCCGGACGCCGTCACGTTCACGACGGTGATCCAGAAGCTGTGCAAGGAGTCGAGAATCGACGAGGCTCACGAGCTGTTTGAGAGCATCGGAAAGACTTGCAAGCCGGACTCGGTGCTCTTCAACACGATGCTTGCTGGCTACTGCAAGATAACGAGGATCGACGACGCAAAGAAGCTGCACGACCGAATGCTTGACAGTGGCTGTGCTCCGACGCTCGCAACTTACACAGCTCTCGTCACTGGGTTCTGCCGCACTGGGAGATACAGCGATGCCTTGATCATGTATCACGAGATGATCGAGATGGGATTTCCACCGGAGAGACATCTAGCTGAGCTGGTCGATCGGACTAGGACGGATCATCCCCCTCCTCGTCGTCCATACTTCGTGACAACTTGAAAAGGGCGAGCTCACGCTTAAGGGTATGAACGATGCTTCCGGAGGTGGTGGTTGTTCTCGAGATCCTGGCCAGACTACCGCTGGAAGAAGTGCTGCGGCTGAGGTCCGTGTGTAGATCCTGGAAGGCTGCCACAAGCGGCCAGCTCTTCATCTCCAGGCATGAAAAGTTCCAGAGGAAGTCGCCATCGTTTTTCGTCTGCGGCTCCGAAGAGGGTACGTTTGTTTTGGATCCGCGCAAGCATGGAACAGACAGGAAGCTCTTGACTGCCCAGCAAATCCCGAGGGAGTTCTTGTTGGAGCCAGCGGTGGCGTGCTTTGCTACGCTACAACCACGGTCCATTACCGTCGACCTGGTGGTGTGGGATCCTCGCGAAACAGTGCCACCAAACCTTCTACCCCAGGCTGGAGTTTGTCACCATGGTTTTGCGCTTCTAGTTGTTTGGAAACTAAGAGCCGATCCGGGGTTCGAACCCATGAAGAGGGACCCTATTTTTTTTTCGCTGAGATTCGACCGTGTCACGTCTTCGTACTTGGAAAAAAATTCTATGATTCAAATAGCATTTTTAGGGTTTATGGGATCGGGCAGAGGATCGCCAATGCGCCAGGTATCTCTCCATCGGCTGCTAGAGCCAGGCCGAGATACTCGCCATTGAGAAATCTCTGTTTCTACAAGGCGAAATTCTTGTCCTCGGGAGCCTGGGAAAATCGAACAGGTTTTCACTTGCAACGATCTCCATCGACGTTAGCATCCAGGATGCCCATTTCCTCTTCCGGAGCCATATGAGGGACGTCCACGGACGCATTCCTCGTCGTCGTCGGAGCTTCGTTACTGCTTTAACAGGCCCAAGATGCAGTGGAATATGCGAATGCGCGAGTCCATAGCTCGTGGTGGCTATGGCGGATGGTTGTGGTATGGCGACAGTTGGTTCGACTGTTTTCTTCTCCCGCTCGGAGCTTGGAGCGACGTTTGGTCGCGGCACTACAGGAAGGGAAGCTGCTGGACGAGGCCCTGGGGAGAAAGGGAGGATTGGATGGCTCTCTGGTGGCCTCGGTGATGAGAAGTGTTGATCCAGACTCCGCGAAGCATTTCTTCCACTGGGCGAAGCAGCAAGTGGGCTTTTCACACACTTTGGATACGTGCAATGCGCTGCTGGAAGCTACTGTTCGAGCAGGGAGGATCGGAGAGGCAACAGAACTGCTAGAGGCAGAGTTCAAGGCAGTGCTCAAGAATGTTGTCACTTACAACATCTTGATCCGCGGCTTGTGCTCTGGTGGCGATGCTGCTGGGGCCTTGGAGCTGTTCCACCGGATGAGGAACTCGGGTGTTCGTGAGAACTCACAGACGTATCTGAGCTTGCTCCAGGGGCTGTGCTCGGCAGGAATGCTCTCGGCGGCATGGAAGTGCTATAGAGATATGTGGGACTTCTCTACGCACTTGGACGTCGTGGTGGTCACGACGTTTCTACACTGCTTGTGTAGAGCAGGATCCGTGGACTCCGGGCTGGAAGTTGTGAAGCAGCTAGAGGCAGAGACGAAATGCATGCCGACTATGGTGACTTACAATGTTCTTATCAACGGGCTGTGCAAGACCGGGAGAGTTTGTGATGCCTTCACTGCCTTTAGAAAGGCGATCCACTTCGGGTTTCGGCCAACAGTCGTCACGTACAGCACTCTCATCGACGGGCTCTGTAGAGACCACGAGGTTGACAAAGGTTGCAAACTCCTGGAAGAGATGGCAGGACGAGGCTGTGCTCCCAATGCGGTCACCTACAATACTTTGGTGAATGCTCTCCTCGGCCAGGGTCGTTCAAAGGAAGCGTTCTCTCTTCTCGAACAGATGGCAGCAAACGGATGTCCTCCGGAGCTGATTACTTTCGGCTTGATCATCAAAGGCCTCTGCAAAGAAGGAGAGATCGAAGCAGCTTTTAGAGTGGTGGATGAGATGGTGGACAGAGGCTTCGTTCCAGACGTGGAGATTCACACGGTTTTGCTGCATGCTCTGTGCGAGCTAGGCCGAGTGGATGAGGCGTGGTTCTTCTTCCAACAGGTACTGCTGATCGGTTTCACTCCGGACGCGGTCACTTACAACACAATGGTCGATGGACTCTACAAAGCAGGGAGGCTAGAGGCAGCTGGAATGGTATTGCAGCTTCTGGCCGAGAGCCTCTCGTCTCCGACTGTTTTCACGTTCACCATCGCGGTGGACGGTCTGTCCAAGGCAGGAAACTTGACCGGGGCTTCTGAAGTCTTCGACTCGATGCCACAAACGGGAGTTTCTCCAAATACTGTGACTTATGACGCTCTCATCGACGGCCTTTGCAAAGCAGGAAAGCTCGATATAGCGCTTGGCCTCTTAAGAGACAAAAGCTCGCAGGCAGGCATGTTTGCGTTTAGCTCTCTTCTTCACGGGCTATGCCAGGCTCACAGGCTCGAGGAAGCGATCCAGCTGCTCAAAGCCATGCCTTGCGTGCCGAACGTGGTCTGCTTCAACTCGCTGATGAACGGGCTGTGCCAGGCTCGCAGAGTTGACGAGGCATTCGAGCTTTTTGACGTGATGAAGGAGTCCGGGTGCTCGGCCGACGTGATCACTTACAACATCTTGCTGAAGGGACTGTGCAAGCTGCGGAGGATTCCAGAAGCTTACAAGCATGTCGAGCTCATGCGGCGGACGGAAGGCTGCTCTCCCAACGTGGTCACTTTCAGCACTCTCATCCAGGGACTTTGCCACGCTGGGCGAGTGAACCAGGCCTGGGAAGTCTACGAGAGGATGGTGGCGGTGGAGGGGATCTCTCCTAACAGGTTCACGTACGCGTTCCTGCTGGAAGGACTCTGCAAAGCCGGTGACAGCCGTAGACTCGAGCAGTGTTTCGAGCAAATGCTCGAAAGAGAGTGGAGGAGCTCATCCTCATGGCCGATTCATTCGCCCGAAGTGGACTTCCTCGTCTCCGGGTTTGCGAGAAACGGGCGAGCTGTCCTGGCTTACGGGATGGCGAAGCTGATGATGGCAAGAGGATTCGTCCCGGGTGCTGCTACGTGCCGTGCGGTGCTTGACGGGCTCTGGAAAGCAGGAGCCGCCAGAGAACACCGGGAATTCGCCTCGCACCTCTTGAGCTCACAGGTTTGATCATTCTCGCATCGAAAGATACTGATTAGAGTGCTTTTGCAGTGAAAAAATCTCTTTTTTTCCGCTCATTTTTCTCGAAGCACAAGTAAGAACACTTCCATGGTTTATTTTTCTTTGTTCTTGATGTATGTTTCTCAGGGTTTAGGGTCTAAGGCGCGTGGCATGGACAATGATCTTCTCCCGCCTGCATTTTGCTGTCTCTAAATGGAGATGGTTCTCTAAGCTGCGACCCCATTTCCAGCGACCAAGGAGTAGTAGACTTCCTTTCGCGATCGTAGCGGTGAGAGAATCACACACACAGCCCTTGAGTGGCCTTTGCAGCAGCAGTACCAGCAACAGTAGCAGCAAGCCGAAGAAGGAGACACTGTTCGCGATCTCCATCGCTGAGACAGTTTCCAGGTCGGGCACTTCGATGGAGAGCATAGAGGCGGCGCTGAGATGGTTCCAAGGTACTCCCAGCAACAGCTTGGTGGGAGTGGTGCTCAAGAACATCCAGGAGCCGGACAGTGCGTGGTTCTTCTTCCAGTGGGCGAGGAGGAAGGCCGGTTTCAGGCACAACACTTACACCTGGAACGTCCTGCTGAGCGTGTTCGTGAGGGAAAAGAGGCACGCCGAGGCGAGACAGATGATGGACGAGCAGATGCTCCACGACTGCTTTCCGGACGTGGTGACTTTCACCACGCTCATGACGGGTTACTCGAGAGCCGGGGAGATGCGAGCTTGTGTGGAACTTATGGAGGAGTATTGGGCCAGGAACACGGACAAGCCCCCGACTGCTCAGATGTACAACGTCCTGCTCAATGGTTTCTTCAACGCGGGGATGTTTGGAGAGGCTCTGGTCCAGTTCGAGAAGATGGTGCAAGTGTGCCGGCCGACGCTGGTGACTTACAACACGCTGGTTACGGGGCTGTCCAAGTCGGGCATGGTGAGAGACGCGCTCGGGATGCTCGAGTTCATGATCGAGTCGGGGCTTTCACCGGACGTGATCACTTTCAACTCGGTGCTCGACGGGCTGTGCAAGGAGCAGCGGATACTCGACGCGCACAACGTTTTCAAGCGGGCTCTGGAGAGGGGGTGCCGGCCGAACGTTGTCACTTACAGCACCTTGATCGACGGGCTGTCGAAGATGGCGAAGATGGACGAGGCGTTGCAGCTCCTGGCGAAGATGGTGGAGCTGGGCTGCCGCGCAAACACGGTGACTTACTCCACGGTCGTGGACGGGCTGCTCAAAGTCGGGAGAATGGAGGACGCGGTCGTGGTTCTCAGGCAGATGAGGGACGCCGGGTGCTTGCCGGACGCGGTGACTTACAACACTCTCATCGATGGATTCTTCAAGCGGCAGAGGCTGCGGGAGGCCGTCGGTTTACTCCGCGAGATGCTCGAGGCCGGGTTCCATCCCAGCGTTGTGACTTACACCACGCTGTGCCACGGGCTTTGCCGGAGCGGCCGCTTCGACGAGGCTGTGGAGATCCTCGACTACATGGCTGCTCGAGGCTGCGCTCCCAACGCCATCACTTACAGCTCCATCGTCGACGGACTGTGCAAGGCCGGGAGAGTGACCGAGGCGCTGGGATACTTCGAAAAGATGGCGCGGGACGAGGTGGTGGCTCCTCACGTCATAGCTTACTCGGCGCTCATCGACGGGCTCTGCAAAGCTGGCAAGATCGACGAGGCGTACGAGTTCCTCGAGCGGATGATCCGAGCGGGCCGGATCCCGGACGTGGTGACTTTCAGCATTCTCATCAATGGGCTGTGCGACGCCGGGCGGATCGACACGGGGCTGGAGCTCTTCCGTGGCATGGCCGAGCGAGGCTGCGTCCCGGACATGGTGACGTACGCTACTCTCGTCGACAGGCTTTGCCGAGCTAGCAGAGTGGACGAAGCTTTCGATCTCTTCCAGCAAATGAGGAGCGATGGATTGTCGCCGGATAGATCGACTCGGAGAACTATGATCCATGGCCTTCTCGAGGTGAACAGGGACGAAGACGCGAAGAGAATCCAAGACGAAGAGAACTCTTGATTACGACGAAAACAGTTATAAGTTCGAATCCGGGCATCGACAATGATAAGATCGCGCGTTCGAATCCGGGCACGTACAAATCATCGTGTCGGAGTTTCGACTCCTGTCCGCGACGGTATGGGTTTTAGGGTTCTTGGTTTTGAGCTCCAATGATCCGGCAATGGCGGCAATGCCGCTCGCCATTCCGCGTCTCCTACCCGTATTCCAATCCGGGCCACGTCCAGTCCCTGCTCGGCATCCTCGACAATGCGCCCGGCAGCAGCGGCGGCAGCGATCTCGCGGCGCTCCTCAACTCGAGGTACGATCCCGGCGTTATCATCACCAAGGACACGCTGCGTGTCGTCCTTCGCGAGGTGAAATCCGCGGAGCTTGCGAAGCAGCTCTTTGATTGGGCTGCTACCAGGCCGCACTTCAGCCACAACAATCTCACTCGCAATGCGCTGCTCTTCGCGACGATTCGGGGGGGACAGATCGAGCAGGCCCGCGAGATTTTCAAGGGCATTGTTGAGAAGAAGGCCGATATCTATGCGTACAATGCCATGATCAATGCCTACTGCTTGAAAGGAGAGTTTTCCGCGGCCTATGCGTTGCTGGAAGAGATGAAAACGCACGGGATTGCCAAGAACACCGTCACACACGGGATAGTGATCAAGGCGCTGTGTGGCAATGACCGGATAGACGAGGCTGTGAGTTACTTTCACTCCATTCCCGAGGACTGCCGGGACGAGATCTCGTATAACACTTTGATCACTAGCCTGGTGGCTTCCAGGCGGTCCGAGCAGGCCTTGGAGCTTCTTCGGGCGATGGTAGCCGATGGAGGAAGCCCGGATGCTTGCAACTACATGACCGTGATGGATGGGCTCTTCAAAGCTGGCTCTCCAGAGGTGGCGGCGAAGTTATTCCAGGAGATGCGCTCCAGGGGCCACTCGCCAGACTTGAGAACGTACACCATCATGATCTCGGGGCTGTCCAAGGCCAAGCAGCTGCCACTGGCTTGCGACTACTTTGAGGAGATGCTACGCAAGAATCTCAAGCCGGACGCCATCGTATACTCGAGCTTGATCGATGCGTTTTGCAAGGCCGACAAGGTGGACGACGCATGGAAGCTTTTGCGTTCTAGTGGGATCGAGCCAACCATAACCATGTACAGCACGATGGTCGACTCGCTCTGCAAGAACAGGGGGACGGACAAGGCTCTCGAGGTCATCCGGGAGATGAAGAGCAAGAACTGCGAACCGGGGATCCACATATGGACGTCGCTGGCGACGGCTTATGTGGCCGAAGGACGGGTGGACGAGGCTCTGAAGCTTGTGAATGACCTCGAGTGTGATCCGGACGTGATCTTCTACAGCAGGCTCATTGGCGTGCTCTACGACACCGGCAGAAGCGACGAGGCTCTCAACATCTTCAACACCATGGTCGAGAAAGGCCTCGCTCCAGACGGTCAGACTTACTCGACGATCGTCCACTGCTTCTGCAAGCAAGGCAACATGCGGGCCGCGTCGAAGTTCGCTGCGCTGATGCACGGGACTGGCGTGAAGATGGAGCCTATCGTCTATGGCATGCTCATGGACGGCTACTTCCGGGAGTGCAACATGGAAGAGGCTCTCAAAACTTACGAGGTGATGCTCTCCAAAGGCGTGCGTCCCAATCCAGTGATCTACAACATTCTGGTCGGCGGGCTTTGCAAGATGAGGAGGCTGGAGCATGCCACCGAGGTCTTTCGGGAGATGCAAGAGAAGGATGGCATCGTTCCCTCCGCCAAGAGTTACAGCATTCTCATCCACGGAGCTGCAAAGGCGAGGGAGGTGGAAAAGGTGCTGGATCTTCTGACGGAGATGATCGACAACGGCGTCATTCCAAACCACATGACTTACACGAGCGTCATCTCCGCTCTCGGCAAGGCTGGCCGCCTGAGCGAGGCGAAGGATGTGTTCCAGGACATGGTGAAGATGGGCCTGGTGCAAGATGCTCCTGCGTATGGTGCTCTCATCAACGAGCTTTGCAAGAGGTCGAGCTTGGGCGAGGCATGGGACTTGCTTCAGGACATGATGGACAGTGGCTGCGCGCCGGACAAGAAGGTCTACAAGTCATTTTACCGGGCAGTGAGCAAGAGGGAGCAGTGAGCATCTCGGCGGCTTTGCAAAGCGTTTTCGAGCTTCGTCGAGCTTGAAGGTGAGCTGAAGATCTCCAGGTTCCTCAGGTAACGGGATAATAGAAATCGCTTCTTCAAATCATCCACATGTTTCCATGTCCTTTTCTCAGGCGAAACTGTGGCGATGAACGAGGAGTGTGTCGCCTCATTCTTTCCCTACGTTCCGGAGGCCGAGATTGAGAACGATACGACAGACTCTTCCTATCCATCGAGGTCGAAAGTAAGTGAGAGTAAGCTGGTTTTCTTCAAGCAAAGACCAGAGAACGAGATTTATGTAAAGCAAGCGCAGGTATGAATTGGAATCCAAACTAGAGAAGTTAAAAATTATGTAGAGCAAGCCAGGTAAGACCAGGTATGGAATTGTCGATCATTTGTTCTCTCTCTATTGGAATCCAAACTTTGCAGAGAATACACACGAGATGAAAGGAAGTTACGTTATGCAGAATGACCATAAACTCCACCACTCTTGCTCGTCCATCCTGGGGTCCTGGATCTCACGTTCTCACCAAGTACACACTTGATGTATCAAATTAATTGATAGAAAGATTATTGGGAAGGCACAAAGATTTTGCAGAATTATTATTGTTTCTCAAACTTTCTATACAACCATTGCATCTTAATGTAAATTAAACTTTTATAGTTAGCAAGATTTTACATCTGTTCCCCACATTCTTTTGATAACTGGATATTTTGAGAATCTGTGTTGGGTAGATTCATATAATACTAAATTACAGCTATTTTGAAGTGATAAAAATGTGTTCATCATGCAATTTTTATATTTGCAATATGTATTTGGAGACCATATAGCTATTTTGTTTCCAGAATAAAATACTAAATTTCCATC